ATAAACCGTCACCAAGCTTATTTGATAAGTGAAGCATCGGCAATGTACTTGTTATAGGCAAGATATGGTCTAATCTCAAAATTATATAATATCGGGCTAAAGTTTACGTGAAAAGAATGAAAATACACTATCTGTTGTCCTTTTGCCGATAAAGAATAGGACTCGTAGCTTCGGCCAGTCAAGGCTCTAGATGTTGGAGAATGAAGAATATCTCTCCCTTATAAGGAAGGAAGCATGGTTTTTTTCTTATAAATACAGAAAAATATAATCAGAATTGGCCCAGACTCAATTTAAAAAAAAAATCTTTAAAAAAATTGTTCTAGATGCTATCTAGGCAGACTACTAAGCGTTGAAACAAATTCAAACGAAAAGATTTGTGTTAATTTGGTGAGAGAAATCGGTAATCTGGTTCAGACGGCCCAAACCGATGAAAATCGGCCAAATCAGTCAATTTCCGATTTAATTATCAGTTTATTTTTTTTATTATCTATTCCATTAAAACAATTTTGATTATATATGTTGTTTGATAACTTTTTAATTTAATTTATTTAATAATCATAAATTATATGGGTCAGTATTTATTTATTTTGACATATCTAATATTATTTAAAAAGTATAATTTTGAAAATATCATATAAAATTTTAGATATTACATCAGATACATAAATAATATTAAAATTTGAAAATTAATAAAAATTCAATAAATAAATAATTTTTAATCATATTCTATTTTTTCTTTTAATAATTCAGTAGTGAAAATCTTATTTATTTAATCGCATTGTTTGAACATAAACTACGGAATGCTTACAGGGGGTATATGTTCGTCGGAGTTATGATAAGCGGAATAACGGTAAAGCTTAGGATAGGAGAAGCCATAATCTGATATGCCCTTATTTGTTGAAGGCAAAGCCAATCTAGCCTTGAGTAATCTACATATCTTTTATGGGTTCCAGTTAATTTTAATAAAATATAAAATTCCAAAAATAACCTTCTTTCATTTACTTTTTTATAATTTTAATTAATAAAATTTGAAAAAGAAATTGCAAGAAAAAAACCGGCTTCTTTCTTTTCCACTAGAACCCGCGAGCGAGCTCCTCCTTTTTTTCCTTTTCTCTTGGCGAGCTTCGATTCGTTTCTTCTTCTCCGCCTCTCTCCCTCTGTCATTGCAATCCGTCTCGACTGTACTCTGCAACTTCGAAAATCCAGGTCCATTCCTCAAGAGTTCTTGTATTTTACCTAAAATAGAAATCGACTATTTAGGGTTTCATATTTGTATTGAATTGAAAGCGATTTTAGGTGCACATTGGGCTTGTAAGCATGCTTTATGGTTTGATTAGGTCTCTGGATTGGTAATGTATGTATTTTTGTGGTTGAATTGTAGAGAATTGTAAGTAAATTAGAAGGAATTCAGGATGACATTAAATTTTATTTATCGCGATAGGACAACTGAGTACAACTGAATAAGAACAACTAGGAATAACAGTATAACTAGTACAACTTGTATTACTGAAGCCATAATCCAATTTTGTCAATTGAGTTTTTGTATTCATGTCACAGGAGACAATGAGAAAAATGTAAATGTATATTTTAAGTACGAAGATCGCATTAACGGGTTATTATTTAAGACATCTATGGAGGAGATCACCTTGTCGATGTTGGAAGCTAGAATATATAAGAAGGTTGGGATAGATGAAAGTGCGACAAAATTGAAACTGAGTTTCAGTCCACTATTAATGGGACCTCAGATGCTTACATATATTATAGATGATGAAGAGGTTTATGTTTTCCTAACCACCATGGATGACCAGAAACGTAGAGGTGTTTTGCATGTGGAGAGTGAGGTGATCAACGTAGAGTTCCGAGGAAGTTCTTATGGTGTGAACTATGAGGAGTTGCATCCAAATGATAATGAAATTATTGCTAATGTTGGTGCCATTACTCTTTATGTAGGCAATGAACAACATGATAAAGGAATGGAGGATGATTTTACTAGAGAATATAATGTTACTAGAGAGGATAATGTTAGTAGAGAAAATGATGATGTTAGTAGGGTGGATAGGTCGGGTAAGCATGATTCATATGGTGATCTGTCACGTGATGTAGAAGCTAGTCAGTTTGAGTCATGGGAAGACGGTATGCGTGTGGTTATTGGTCAGGAATTTTGCAATAAGAAGGCAGTTCAAGATTTGGTGGATAGAGCTACATTTCAGAATTGTTTTTCTTTTACTGTAATCAAGTCGGATTCTTTTGTTGTAATCAAGTCGGATAAAAAGAGGTTAGTGCTAAAATATCGGCAAAGAAGTTGCAAATGGCATTTATGAGCTACAAAGGTTGGAAATTCAGATTTTTTTTTTTTGGTTAGAGTGTACACGAAGATGCATACATGCTCTCGTGCTAGTGCGAGTACAAGCAACTTTAAAAGAAAAAGACACCATGATAGTTGCATATGTTTTACATGAAGATTATCCAGGACAAATGGTCACTCCAACTCCTAATAGTCTCATCTCGCTTGTTCAGGGTAAACTTGGTGTGAAAGTGTCATATTCCATCTCATTGAGAGGGAAAAAGCAAGCTGTTAGTGATGTCCATGGTAGTCCAGAAGAAAGTTATAAGTTGCTGCATAGTTATTTGTACATGTTAGGGAAGGTCAACCCTGGTACAATAAGTAGAGTGAAAATGGATGAAGGAAACAAATTTCAGTACTTATTCATAGCTTTACAAGCTGCAAAGGTTGGAAATTCAGATTTTTTTTTGTTAGACTGTACACGAAGATGCATACATGCTCTCGTGCTAGTGCGAGTACAAGCAGCTTTAAAATAAAAAGCACACCACGATTAGTTGCGTATGTTTTACATGAAGATTATCCAGGACAAATGGTCACTCCAACTCCTAAGAGTCTCATCTCGCTTGTTCAGGGTAAACTTGGTGTGAAAGTGTCATATTCCACCTCATTGAGAGGGAAAAACCAAGCTGTTAGTGATGTCCATGGTAGTCCAGAAGAAAGTTATAAGTTGCTGCATAGTTATTTGTACATGTTAGGGAAGGTCAACCCTGGTACAATAAGTAGAGTGAAAATAGATGAAGGAAACAAATTTCATTACTTATTCATAGCTTTGGGAGCTAGCATTGAAGGGTTTCAAGTGATGAAGAAAGTGATAATGGTGAATACAACGTTTTTGAAGAATGGATATGAGGGTGTCCCTATTTTTACCACAGCTCAAGATCCTAATCATCACCATTATCCCATTGCATTTGGTGTACTTGATGATGAGAATGATGCAAGTTGGGTCTGGTATTTGTTAGTGACAGAAATTTAAGTCTCATCAAGAGTATAAGACCAGTGTACCCAAGCACGTATCATGGGTATTGCATATGGCATTTGTCCCAAAATGTGAAAGATCATGTCTACTACTTTAACAAAGAGGCAGTTGCAAAATAAATTAGGGAGTGCTGTATGATTTACACCGAGTTTGAGTTCTTGAGGGTTTATGGTGAATTTAGGAGAAGGTATCCTTCTGCAGCCAAATATGTGGATAAAACAACTCATGTGACAAAATGGGCAAGGTGTTATTTTCCAAGAGAAAGGTACAATATATACACAAGCAATTGTGCTGAAGCTTTGAATATCATGTTTAAAGAGGAAAGGAGGTACTCGTTACTACACTTGATTGATGCAATTATTTCAAAATTGTCTGAATGGTTTAACAAGCATAGGAAGGACAGTGTTTCTGGGTCGGATGAGCATAAATTGGTGCCTTTTGTGGAGAACCTCGTGCACAAGACATGTAAGGATGCATCGACCTTAAACATGACGGTGCTAAATAGTTATGAGATTAAGTACAGTGTGATTGGAAGTGATGGCAAAAAGTACTTGGTGTCGTTGATTAGGAAAAGTTGCAGTTGTAATTGCTTTTTTATTGACAAATATCCTTGTGTGCACGGAGCAGCCGCTCTCATTGAGTTTTGGAAGAGTGGAGATAGAGAACGAGATATCCTTTTCCATGATGTTTTCTCAAAGTATTATTGGGTCTAACTGTGGGCATTGACATATTACAAGACCATTTATTTAGTCCCTGATAACTCTGTGTGGGCTGTCCCGGATTACAAAAAAGAATTATAGGTTATAGCTCCAAAATACATCTCAATGGCGGGAAGAAAGCAATTAAGAAGGTTTCCATCAGCTGGAGAACGGCGTCCAAGGACAAAAAATAAAAGGGTCCCTAGGCGAATGTTGGAATATTGGTTGTTCGGCAATAGTAGTACTGTTTGATTTGTCTATTTGGCAATAGTGTATTACTTTGTTTTTTTATTCTGTATTATTGGTGTAATCTTGTTTGTATTTGTGCTCCAAACAGTGTGTGTATCGAAATTTTGCATTTTGGATAATGCTGGTATTAATGGTATTATTGGCGTTATTAGTATTACTAGCATTATTGGTATTACTGAAGTGTAGAATTAAGGAATTGAAATTAAGAAACGACATATATATCATTAACTTAAGAACTCTTAGATCATAATAAAATAGTAAGAAAATAATAAAATATACGGGTAACAAAAAAAATCTAGATTGGTGAAGCATATTGTTGCTTTCACAACAAACACCCCTTATAGTATAAGGAAGACTTTGTTAATATAACCACTAATGATGCAAAAATGTCAAAATATAAGTATGTACAGAATTTTGAATATGAATTTGTTGTAAATGATAATTGATAGTGTAGACGCTACTGTACAACTACAAAAACATATGTGTGAATATGGTTCAACTACAAATAAGAGAAAATCTCAAAAGTTTAACTATTAGGAAATTTGTACTAACACTTAAGGACAACTACGTTCATGTGGTTAGTATTTTCAATTACACAATTTATTAAATTTGAAGCATTCATTGGGTGGAGCCCACCATTGAAATATATAATATCCCAAAAACCGACAATTCGTTCATTATTCTTATCTTTGTTTCGTGATTGAGGGGAGAGAAGGGAGAGAGAGGAGAGAGAGAAGAGAGAGACTCAGAGGAAACGAGCAGATCTAGGGTTTTTAATTTGGAGAAGGGTAAATCTGGCGTTGTTCTTCATTGCATAGTGGTAATTGTAAATCTAAACTAGGGATCTAGGTTTTCAATTTGGATTTCTTCAATTTCGATTTATAGGATTTAAATCTGAAATCCTTCTGGGTTTTTTTGGAGCTTGTTTGTTTATATGATAATTTATGGTTTAAATCTGAAATCCTTCTGGGTTTGTTTTTTTATATGATAATTAAGAGTTTAAATCCGAGATCCTTTTGGATTTGTTTGTGTTTATATGATAATTTAGAGTTTAAGTCCAAAATGCTTCTGAATTTGTTTGTGTTTATATGATAATAAAGGGTTTAAATCCAAAATCCTTCTCTCTTATTATAGTGAATATGGATAATTTGAGCGATGGTGAAAAAAAGAGGATGAAGGAGTATGACATGCTTTTTGTCATAGCCGATGCTAAATTTGGCATTCCGAAGCGATGTGCATGTGGTGGTGGAATCACTGAGGATATTTCTCACACTCACACACAAGCTGACCCAGGGAGGAGATACTTCACATGCGAACTGCATAAGGTGAGAATCGATTTGAAAATTTAATGACATTACTCGTAAGAACATTCTTGGAGCCAATGTATATATGTCTGTATGTGCAGAAGAATGGTGGCTACGACATTCATAAATGATGGGATGCAGCTGTTGAAGAGGAGCTGAGTATCTTACAAATTGAGAGTCATGAGCAGGCAGAGAAGATTCAAATACTTTGAAGCCTTCAACTTAACTTGGAGACAATGTGTGTGCAGCTGGAAAAACACATTGAAAAGGTTGCAAAGCTGAAGGAACAACTTCATGCAGCTGGATCTTAACTTACGTTTTTAAACGAATCGTGTTAACATTTTCTATTTCTATTGTAAGACATATGTACTTTCCAAACCTATCCTATTTCTGCTCTTTTTCCTTATTTGAATAGATTCGAAAATCTTGTTAAATGAGTTGTACTACTTATAAAGCCCGCACATGTTGAACCAAATCAAAGCACAAGAACTAAATCAAACACAAGAGTTGTACCTAATAATACACCAAAATTGTACCTAATAATACACAAGAGTTATACCTAATAATACATAGGAGTTCAAAGCAGAAGTGCTCTACAAAAACATAACATCTGAAGCACACGGAAGTCCTTAGTCCATCCTCCTCCTTTGTCTCCTCCTACCCATTCCTTGTCCCTTCATTTTCCTTTTCTCTACCGTACAAGAAGAAATCTGGTACCGTGATTGTTTGAGTTTCCTTTTCCCCTTTGGGGTCTCCTCATTTCTTATAAGAGGTCCTTCAAGAGATTCCTTAAGAAGTTCTGGTTCCTTCAAGAGGTCCTTCGAGAGGTTTCGGTTCCTCAAGAGCGTCCTCAAAAGCCTCAATAGGGTCACTTGTTTCGGCTTCTTTCTCTTCCTCTCCTTTCTCGTCTTCTGCTTCTCTCACTTCTTTCTCTTTCTCTTCTTCTACTTCTCTCACTTCTTTCTCTTTCTCTTTCTCTTCTTCTTCTTTCTCTTCCTCATCCTCTTCCTCTTCTGCTTCTTTCTCTTTCTCTTCCTCTTCCGCTTCTTTGTCTTTTGCTTCTTTCTCTTCTGCTTCATTATTTTTCTCTTCTTCTTTGTCTCCTCCACTTCTCTGGTAACTGAAGTTGCCATCCATGCCAACTTCACGGTTTTGCTCATCTTCCACATTTGTCAATCTTTCTCTCATTTCCTTGAACTTACTTCTCAAAGAACTGTGAGATTTGCTTTAATCTCTTTCAATCGAGTTTCCACAAATGCATTAGAGGGATCCGGATTAGAGGCTGCCACATCTAACTCGTACATCCCTTTCCACCATATCGCCTTCCCCTCCTTAGTTAGACGCTCGTTCCACCTATCAGTAATTTTGCCTCCACCAACATACTCTAACTCTTCATCTCCAATTCGTGCCAGGAGAAGTTCCTTATACTCATCTAGTTCCAAAACACTCTGAATATCTTGTCAACATACATAAATTCAATATACACCAAAACTAATAACTAAATGTAAAGAGAACAAGTTTACAAACATCTTTAATTCTAACCTTAGAAGTTCCAAGCGCATCATGTATCTCTTCTAGGGGAAAACATGTCATACCACTTGCTTTGAACTTTCTCTTGCACATTCGAGGACATCCTCTATCACAGTCTTTTACATCTTCTTGAAATCTTCTCCTCAGATTTTGAACAGACTCAAAAGCCAGCACCTAGATATAAGGTTATAGTACATCAGAATATACTAAATCATAAAAAAGATAAACAATTATACCTTATAACCAAGTTTTACCTCCAAAGGAATTATGAATCCAGGAATGGAGGTCGTGTCACTCACAGAGCCTTTCATTTTCCCCAGCATGTAATGTATTGCCTCCACAACTTTATCAAATGTTCATCATCCCTACGGAAAGGATTTACACACCTATAAATCATTGACCATTCTAAGTAGAATCATTTATGGGTCCATCATACTTAGTCCTTCCTCCGATAATCGTGAACAGGAAATAAACTACCGCCATCTTCAAACGATCGCCACAAGCCTTCATTGTCAGCAGCTTATTTTTCACATCTTTCATAGTTATCGTCTTTTTATTCTTAAACTGCATTTTCCCAGAAACGGTTACTTGCCAAATTCTCATACTGGTTTGGGTATTTGTGGCAGATCAATCCAGATATGAGTGCATGCTCTCTAATGGAATAACGGATGGGAACACCATTAACCACAAACCAAAGTATTTTTCCTCCCTCACTATTCACAGTGCGCCATCCAAATCCCCATAAGCTTATGGTTTCATTCCATAGGCATGTGAAAGAATTGACGAAACTAAGGATGACGTGTAAACCACTTTAACTCATCCTTTAACTGGTCCTCGCCTTTCAACTCATTTATTACAGTCACCACAATGTTCAGCTCACACCTTGTTTATATCTTTGGATACTTGACAATCTCTGTGTTCTCGAAGAAAAACACAAGAGGATGCATATCTTCCATTTCCTCTTCTGAATGCTGGAAATATTTATTCATACACAGAATTAGTTTAGAATATAACCCAGTACTATATAGTTAAACTTAAGAATACTAGTTATACCAATTCTCCAACACAACAGATCTATAATTCAAATTCTCAGTTAAGTTTTCTAATCGACAAAACCTATCAATAATATTCCAATACGAGCCCAACAACAATCATACAAAAATTTTATTATTACCAAACACAGTTATACTCAGTTCTCCAACACAACAGAATACTAACTTTCCTACTTCTCCAAGCCAAATTCAGCGAAAAGAATACTTACCTTTGAAGACATAACTACATCTTATGGAATCAGACTCCTATCCTCTCCACTCTCTTCGTTGACTGGAGTTGGGAATGCTCCTGGAGTTGGTTTGTAAAGAATTTTTTCTGTACAAATAGGTTCGATAGGAATTGATTCTGGAATTCCTTCTCGACGGGCCCCTGCTGTTTCTTCATCTGCTTTTCTTAAGCGTGAACTCTTTCTTATCCCCTTTTTTAAATTCGACTTCAAATTATTCGTCTGAATCAGCATCTCAAATAACACCAATAAAACGAGTCTTAACTCTACAACTACATCTTCTGAATTCATCTTCTATTCTTTAACTTGGAGCTTAATTGAAAAACAAAGACATGCAGATTCCGATAGGAATACCTTCAACAGAGGAAGTTACGGATGATGGAAAAAGGGGAATAACGATGATTCAAAATAACAGATCGTCCTTTTATACCGGTCGATTGTTCGTCACAGTATCTCAAATCAATCTCTCAATCGTCGCTTGTCGAGAATAAGAAGAAAGTTCGAAGAGTTAGGTTTTTTACTGTCGGGGTCGGGTCGGGTGGAGTCGGATTCAGATTCAAATGGATCTTTGCTGGTTGGGTCAGTAATATCCAAATATATTGAAGGGCTTTAAGGACTTTAGCTATTTTTGCGTTGATAAATAAAATATAAAATAAATGCCAAACATAATGAGGGCTTTCCAGCATTTGTTTTAACAATTGAGGGCTTTCCAGCCTTTGATCCGGGTATGAGCTCCATCCACTAGGGAGAAAACAGAACCAATGCATGTAGCCTTGTGTTGGGACAATATCTCCACCTAGGTGGGTGGAGATAGACTTCAGGGAGTTAGCAGGGCTTCAGACACGGGGCGGCCCGATGGGGGCAGCCTAACGGGGGTAACCTGACGGGGGTGACCTGACGGAAGCGGCCTGATGGGGGCGACCTGAAGAGGGCTGCCTGACAGGAGCGGCTTGACAGGGGCGACCTGACAAAGGCAACCTGACGGGGGCAACCTGTCGGGGGCGACTTGACGGGGGCGATATGACGGGGCGGCCTGACGAGGCAGCCTGGCTGGGGCGGCCTGATGGGGGCCACCTGACGGGGGCGGCCTGATGGGGGGGGGGGGGGGGGGGGGGGGGGGGGAGGGCAGGGAGATTTCTGTCTCCCGAAAGCTTACTAGGACCTCTGGGAAGCTTCCTAGGGCCTCATGGAAGCTCGCTGGACAGCCTGACGAGGCAGAGTACTGTCTCCTGGGAAATTGCCGGATAGTCTAACGGGGGCGGCATGACGGAGATGGCCTAACAGGGTTCTTCTACCTGGAATGCAAAGGAATTTTGTTTTGGTGTTTATTTTTGATACTCTATTACCATATATATTGAAACATAAGAGATCTATTACCATTTCTATTTCAGAGGATTAAGAACATTATGGGAATCTTGAGAGATGTCGTTTGTGAATCAAATTTTTATTGGATTTTGTATTGCAGATAAGTGGCTGTGAAAGATCTTTGGATCATTGTTAGTTTGTTGTTGCAGTCTGATCAATATGTTATTTTCTTTCCTTGGGATGATGGTATTCTTCATCTGAATTAGCCAAACAGGTAAGCACATTGATCCCATATAATGCTTTCTAGCTTCTGTAAGGACACGCAAATTTTCTTATGTTTCAGATGTTGAACACTGAGATAGAGTGCTTGAAAGAGGAAAAACAAAAAAAAAATATGTTTAAATTCTTTGATTTTGAAAGGATATATAGTTATGGTTGATTGGTAATGTCTTCTCATGTTTCAGCTGCGGGTAAAAAAAACTAATGCATATAAGTTTGCTTGATTTTGAAAAGGCACGAATGGCCCAATTAGAGGAGATTAGACAGTCGTTGAAACAGCAGTTTTTGGTCACTAGATCAAATGTCCTTTACCTCTAATCAGTTGTAGAATAGAAATCAGGTATCAATCCAATTGTGGGAGATGAGATGCAAACCATGCTGTAAGCTAAGCAAGATTGGGGTTTAGTTTTGTGAGAACAAGTCTAGCAACCTAATGGTGAAATAAAAGAAGAGCTTAAACTAAATGCAAGTGAACAGAACTAAACAATTAACTTAAAGCAATGACTAAACAATAATTAAGCAAGAAGTGACTACTAAAGCAAGAACTAAGCAAGATGACTTTGAAGATAATTAATTAAAGGGCAAGACTCAAGGTTCTAAGCAATTGTGGGACAGTGGTTTTCAAGAGTGACAAGGGGATTTCTTTCTAAGGCATTCAACAAGCATAAATCAAGCAAGCAATTCTCAATGTTATGCTCCTAGACAAGGTATCTAAAGGGAACCACTTGGCGTCAATAAGCAATTATATTCAACAAGATCGAAGTGTCATACCCACTTGTGATGGCGTATCCTTCAACCATGAGCATAAAGATCAGAACCATTCTAGCCTAAGAGATGCACCAATCAAGCAACTACTCTCTCACCCAAGCAAGAATTCATATCAACTTATCAATCTGGTGAACCAATAAGGACCTAAGCAGCTATACACCAATCAAGATTATGGATTTAAGCACAAACTTGCAACATCCTAACAAAGCTAAGCAATGAACAAGAATGAAGCAAAAGCAAGATCTTTCAATGCATGCTATCTAACCAT